CATTGTCTTTGTGGACTGTGTTACACCAGTTGACCTTGATGCTCCCTAAGACTATGGTCCTGAGCCACCAAACCAGCAACTCATTCCCTCAAGGTATTTGGTTATGGCGAAGAAGTTTTCATAACTTTGCCTCTACTCTATTCATGGATAGATTCGCAGCACACGTAGCTACCCAAGTCCACTGCAATTGAGTCAATTCCAACTCATAGAGACCCTCATTGGGTTTTCAAGGCTGTAAATCTTTACGGAAGTAAATTGCCTCTTCTTCCCATGGAGCAGCTGGTGGATTTGAACCACCAGCCTTCTGATTAGCAGCCAAATGGCCTTGCCCACTACACCACCAGAGCTCCTACATATAGATACATAAGTAGGAAAATCCTGCCAAATAGGTGTAGGCCTATTCACTCTGCCACCATGTTTGGTGTGCACATGCCCCTGGACGCTCACTCGCATATTATGGTTAGTACTGTCATCCTCTGTTCCTTCTGCAGACTGTGAGCCACGTGGTTCATGCAATGGAAAGTGTGCCTGGAAATTTGCACAGTGTTGTTTGAGTTTGTAAAATTAACAGATGCTCTGTTGTAAGCAGAGCAGGATGGTTTCAAGACGTTGCTTTTGCCACCAGCAGTTGTACGTGTTGCCGTGTATGCGCGTGCACACACGTGCCCAGCGGAGTGCGCCACCGGAGGGAAACAGGGCTGGCTGGGTGGGAGACCAGGGGCTCCTTTCAGTTTTGCTCTCTTCATATTGTTTGTTACTTCCAGAATGTTCACAATGCATGTGGAAACATCTCGATCACGTAAAATGTTTTCCTGGTGGTCCTCCTTCCCCTCCTTTTCTCCTAACAAGGGGTGTTAGTTTCTTGGGATGGAAAGCATTGTGCTGGAGCCTCCAACCATGGAGATCATCCTCCAACCTCTTCCTGTCCACGGAGTCCGGCTGTGGCGGTTGTAGAAGGCTGGGGACTTGGGTGTCAAGAGGAGAACGTCCTTGTCTTTCTCATCTTGGTTCCCTAGGATTCAATGCGTGAGAAAACCAGTGCCTGCTCTGAAAGCAAGGGCCTGAGCCGCCTGCGGGAGGAAGGCCATTTCCTCAGGACTTGCTCCTCACTGAGACATGGCCCGGGCTCAGCCAAGGAGGCTTCTGTCGAATACCTGCAGGAGGTGGCCCGTATCCGCCTCTGTCTTGACAGGGCCTCCGACTTCCTCTTCGAGATGTATGCGGGCTCAGGCAAGTCAGCTCCCTTGCTCCTCCTCGGGCCGAGCGACCCCATTAGTAGAAACTCAGAAGCGTGGGACCCTGGTTCTTCAGTTAGGACTGGTCCTGCCTGCATCCCTTCTCCTGGGTGGTTTTGGCCCTGAGGCCCTAAGGGGTGGACGCCATGCCCTATACCAGCCTCTCAGCATGGGCCGTGTTCTTCGTCACCCGCACCCACCTGCTTTCTCACTGGACTTCCAGAGAACACAAGGGAGAAGCAGGAGTACCTGCAGCACGTCCAGCTCTTCTGCACCCAGGCCAAGAACGACTGGTTCCGTGTGTACTTGGTGAGGAGGCTCACGGGCCAGCACACGATGGAGTTTGTGCAGAGCCTTGCCAAGCGGGGGCACCCGGCCCAGTGGGTGTTCCCCAGGGAAGTCATCACGCAGCAGGTGAGCAGTGCTGTCCCCAAGGTGGGGCTGGGCTTCCCCTTCGCTTCCCACCCTGCCTGTCTCCTGCGGCCACTGAGCAAACGGGAGGGCTCTGGTCTGGTCCTTTGCTGCTGGGCTTCATCTGATGTGACCCCGCTTACGATAAGGCTTGGACTGCCTGCCCTGAGGGATGGATGCGTGTGCATGTGGGTGGGTGTGCGTGCACGCCGGCGTGTGCTTCTGGTTTCATCCTGTGCCTGTAAGCTTATTGAGACATCGGTAAGGACCGAGTATAATGGAAAGCAGAAGTCTCTGTGGCCTTGGCTTTCATCACATTGAAAGGGACCCACGTGCAGGATTTGTTCTTTCTTCAGCAGAGCCAGGAAACAGTGGGGGCTGACATTAACAGAGCTGCAGTAAGCTTGGCTCAGGGCCTCGCGGTGGCCCTGCCCTTGTGCCTTTGTGCTTGGCTTGGCTTGGGGCCTCTCGGTGGCCCATGCTCAGAAATGAACAGGCCCCCACCATGCTGGCGTCACACAGTGCACAGCAGCTGCCCAGCATTTGGTGCTCCGTGTGCGAGTCACCTGCCTCTGATGCTGGGCTCTCCCTGGAGGATGGCAGCAGCTTCCAGGTCAGCCGTGCCTCCTCCCAGGACGTCCCTCCCGATGCCTGTCTGTCTCATTGAGGAGGGAGCTCTTCCCGAAGACAGCACGTGACTGACAGCCTGTGCTGGTACAGAGGCTCACCTCAGCCTCCTCGAGACCCCTTGTTGACCAGCCAGCACTTTACCTCGAGAGACAGTTCTTTGTGAAACCTTCTCCCACCTGCCCCCTCCCAATGAAGCCCTGTGTTCCTGGAGTTGCAGGAGGACTATCCCAGCCAGCTGGACCGGTTCCTCGTGTACGGCAGTGGGTACAAGGCCCTCCGTGATGCAGTGGGCAGAGCCGTCCTGGAGTGCAGGCCCCAGGGCATCACGGCCGCGATGGAGGTAGGCAGCTCCAGGTTCTCTGGGGCAGAGGGTGTCCCCACTCAGGCCCAGCTCTCCTTGTCTCTGTCACGTGATACGGTGGTGGTGGGCTTGCCAAGGGCCCCACAGGGCAGCCACGATACTGGCAGGCACACACGCCCATGGCCTTTGTGGTCACTCAGCACTGCTCGTGAACCAGCCACTGGGACCGGGCAGCAACAGCCGGGGAGCTGGGTTGACAGCTGTCGTGTTCTGTGGCCACAGCCATGGCCACCAGCAGTGCTGCTTGGACGAGGACATGCCCGTTACTTCCTGGAGACCCTGCTGCAAGTCACTTCCTCCTTGCCCTAAAAATACACCACACCCACCGTCAGCAAGTCCATTCCCACCCACAGCGCCCCTAGAGGACAGAGGGGAACTGCCCACAGGGTCTCCAAGGCTGTCAGTCTTCACAGAAGCAAAGCCCAAACCACACCCACTGCCGTGGAGTCCATTCCGACCCACAGC